ATTAGTTTTGAATCAAACTGAAAATTTACACGTATACGGATATAATAATATTTTGTTATAATGGCCATTGGATAAAATAAAACACATGATAATTTTGGATACTCTGCTTTTTAGCCTTCCTCTGTACAAGTCAAGCCTAAGCATATCAACGAAGTGATGGTTTTGTTTCAACTAGATTTTGATTTTCAATTTGTATGTCTCTGTGTTCTCTTCTATAAGTGTGAAATTGTGGTTGTTTACTCTTAAAGACGTTTTAGAGTTCAGAAAAAAATTCTGTCTTTTGCAGTTTTTCAGGTTTTACAAATATGTTTTGATCCTCTCTTTTTGTTTCTCACTTCTCTGTTTCGTTTTCGTATATAGGACTCATGCTTTTTTTTTGTTTTTCTTGTAACTAAATATGAATACAAAAGATTCATCTTTCTTAATTTAAAAGATTGCAAGTTTGCAACCGATCCAAACACCACTCCAAGAGCATACCCTATAGCCTCAGCTTTCCTCATGTTTATTTGTATTCAAAAATATATTTTACATCTCTGTGTTTTTTGGTGTTCTGATTCTTTTCAGCTTATGTATATGTCTTGCTGTTTGACTTTGATTCATAGTTTAGCGTAATTTCCCAATAATGCATCATTTAAGCTCTTAACATCTTTGTGGATTGTTACTGACTGGATCGCTCTAATCTTTCATTACTAAACCCTAAACCCTTATCTAGAAAGAGAAAAAAAAAACAGAGATGTATATGAACATGACTACAGAGAATTACCGTTCTTACTTTATTGAAAAATAAAACAAAACATGCATGATCTCTTATTATTATTCATACAAAGATACAACAAACACAAGGAAAAGCTTCAATACAATTACCAACAACTAGTTGACAGACATGGAACGATGAAACTCAAAACCAGAAAAAAGAATCTTAACGGTTTCTGCGCTTAGTCGTCGGACCACTTATCTTGACGAGCCACTCCGGCTTGTACGAAGCAATGACTTGTGCTATGGCCAATCCAAGCAACACTCCAGGCCCATACCCTATTGCCACTCCTTTCCAGTTCAACA